GGGGCTGGGGGAGGCTCAGCGGCCCACCGGGGCGCCCCACAACACCTGACCTACGTATTTTACTCCTTCAATCTCTGCTTTCCGCCCAATTTACGTTTCTACCTAACATTGCTACAGTGCCCAGACTCGTACGCTCCTTACGTGTGTCACAACTGAATCCAAACCTCAAGGCTCTCAGCCACCTCCTGCTGCAGCGTCAGCTGAGTCACTGCGTGACACGAAGGGAAAGCACGCAGGCCGGCAGACGTGGGCAATTCCTGCCCTGCCCAACACACCTTCAGAGGCTTCTGTTAAAAAAATCCACGTTGTCAGTAATGTGCACGGTGTGTTTTGTGTTTGCTCTTGTGTGCTGCAGTATCTAAAGACAGGGAAACACCATTCTCCTCTGTTTTGCTCCAATTCTGAAACTCTGACCCCAGCATGCAACAGGAAAGTCCAAAACCTTCGCAGTAAGTTTGGGTTTGATGCCCCACGCAACCTTAATTCAGCTATTTTATCTATATGCACCGCGACGGATCAGTATTTCTCCATCAGTAATTCTCTAGGATGACTGCTTGACTCAGTAACAATGGATGTACAAACAGCTCTTCCAGAAACAGTCAAAAAAAGCTGATTTCTAAAACTCTGAAGTGAACCCACAAGTCACAAGCACCTCCCGTGCAAGGTAACCGCAGAAACTACCATTAGCACAGGCTGCCCTTCGAGCAGAGCTCAAAGCCGCCATCCAGCGCTTAGGCTGATGGGAAGTCCACCTCACCTTACACTCCTAAAAGCCCAGGACATGTGTTTAAGGGTAAAAAAGCACGTCAAGACATGCAAGATGCTGTACACTACATGTGAGGAGGGGAGCGGGGACTCCTGACCAAGAGACAACCCCGGGAGCACCCTGCTGCACGGGTGGGGAGCTGGAGGAAGCTTGCTGCGCCCCCGCAGAAACCCCCTCGCTTTGGGGAGGACCTGCCTTCCCCGATGCTGCCCGCTGGCGCGGAGAAGCCGAGGGTGCACAGAACGAGCTCTGCCGCATTTCGCCTCCTCTGCAGCCCAGCAGAGCCAACCTCCAGCCCCAGCCCAGGGGCCGGCGCGGAGCAGGGAGAGCTGGGCTGACCGTGTGCGCAGGCACCCCCGGCGCTACGTCTGCTGGAACCCCCAGCTCCCAGCCGTGCCGCACCGAGAGGAGCTCCAGGAGCCGCCTGGGAGCCACCAGCAGCTCCCCCAGCTCTCCCAGCGGGCCACCGCGCAGACAGCGCCTCCTGACAGCGAGGCCGTTACCAACCTGGCGCGCCGAGCTGTTCCTCCTCGCCGTCTGACCTCCCTTTCCTCCCTCCACAGGCACACGGGCCCTCCGGAAAGCTCCCCTCGGCGTGGCTGGCAGGGCCCCAGCTCCACCAGCACCCTGCCCAGCCGCCCCAGCTAAGCAAACACTGGTGGGAGCGGGAGGCCCTGGAGCCGGAGAGGGGATGTGCCTGGGAGAAGCCGCGCACTCCTCCACCTCTGCTGGCAACCGGCAGAAGGGACAGATTAGAGCTGAATTAAGTTACCAGCATTAAATAAACATGCCTGGCCTCTTTGAAGTTCTGCTTCCCTTGAACATGAGCTCATTTCACGAGGCCTCTTTTCGCTCAGCCCCAGGAAGCCACCAGTCTCGATGGAGTTAACTCTTCACAGGACTCCTCAGCTCCCCCAGGCGCCTCACCCTGCCCGCACCCAGGGCTCAGGTCAGTCTGGCATGTGAGCAGAGCCCGGTACAGCCACCCTTAGCACAGACCTCCTGCATGTCTCCCGGGGTCGCTCTGATTTAAGGGCAATTCCCACCAGGAAAGGGAACCTGCGGGACTGCACTGTCAGCCCTGCGGGCCCCGGGGCTGGCACACGGGGAAGCTTCACTGGAGCTGAAGGAAAGGAGATCCCCCTGTGGTGAAGCATCCTCCAACCCCGCCAAGAGCAGCGCTCTCAGGTCCTGGGAGGACTGTGCTCAACCCTCCTCCAAAGCAGGGCTGAGGAGTAAAGGAATAAGGGAGGAATTTAACCATAGACGAGGGAAGTTCCCAGCGCTCCCTTCTTTTAGTCTAATCCCACAAAGTGGAAACGGGAAAGTCCTGGGCAGGAAAGGGAGGGGGTAGCCACAGAAAGGAAAGTAAAACACCACAAAGATAAGGCTGATCTCGACTCCATGGCATTGCTGCATGGCTCGTGCAGCCTCTGCCAGTCCCTGCTCTTGCCCCAGTGCTGGAAAAACACGGCAGAGAGAGCAGAATTCTGCCTGGGAGCAAGGGCTGCCTCTGCCTGGGAGTGAGGAGATGGGACTTTCGGAGCTCACTGGTTTTGTACATGAGCAAGAAGTGCAGAGTTGCTGTGATGGAGACAGGCAAGAGGGAGAGCCTGTCGCTGCTGCCTGCCAAGGGGGGCAGCAAATGCTCCTCCCCGTGGCTCCAGGTTACCGCGGTGTTGCCCCCGGGATGGGGGGTTATTTCTGGATGCCCTGCCTGCCCCCAGCTCCAGCCCCAGGCACAGAGAGGCTGGAGCAGAACAGAGCCGCCTGCGCCGGGTGCCGCAGATCGGATGGAGGTTCCCACTTCTCCTGGCAAGGTGGCTGTCACCGTGCTGCTGAAACCTTCCACCCCCAGTTTACTGCCAGGAAAGCTCTCACCCCACACAAACACGTCTTTAGCCACTCGTGCAGTCCCTGAGAAGCACCCTGAAGACACTGGGCAAGAGCCCCTGACTCCAGGGCAGCGCTGGAGAGGTCAGCCACCGGCTGGGAGGTCCCCAGCAGGTCTGCAGCGGGCAGGACACAAACAAACAGCAGGAAGCAAGGGAGAGGCTGGGAACATCAAGGCCAGATGCAGAAATCCAAGATAAACAGCAAGAGCGCCTTTCAGCTCCCAGTCACAACAGAAATCATCTCCATGCGAGGGGAGCCAGGGCTCGGCTTGCACGCAGGCCACGCGCGACTACCCACGGCAATCCACCCCGCGCCCAGCCCTGCAGCACGGAGGACGGAACTGGCTCACACCAAGGGACAGCAGGAAAGCCCCAGCCTGACGGGTTAGCACAAGATGACCCTGGATTTTCAAGACCAACAGCCTCATCAGAGAAATGCCTCTCCTAAGTCATCTTTCAGCTCCGGTAGAGAGGGTGCTCTCCTGCTTCTCGTTTCATCGACAGGCACGTGAGGGACTTGCCAGCCAGCCAACGCCAGAGGGATGTGCATGGGGACAATGACAGCTTCCCTGGTCCTAAACACAACGGCAATGCTCACAAGCTAGAGACACACTGAAAACCTCAACAGCCAGCGCTCAGACCTTTGCAAGGCGGCAAGTTCCCCAACCAACCACCATGGTTCTAGCAACGAGGCAAGTACAACTTGAGTCAGAGCCGCTTTTTCCACGTTCACAGTGAAGATCACAGCACAAGGCAGAGCAAGACAACGGTCAGAAGTACAAACAGGCGCAGTCTGGCAACTTCACCGTTCTCATTATTCCCTTATAATACCCGCTAACGGCCCGGCCCCCCTGTGAACAAGTCCCTAGGAATGTGTGTTCCAAAGACGCAGGGAAGACTCCAAGGGAACTCCTGAAGAGGAGCAGACCTCAGCAGTGTTGCACAGCGTCACCATCCCTCCAGAGAGCCACCATCCCGCCCTGAGCACTCTGACGCCAGGCTGTTACGCTGCCAACAGGGATGATCGTCTGTACCTTCACCACGCACGAAGCAGCGTAAGAAAGCCAGACCCGGCACCAAGATGTCCTTGCCGCTAGCCTCTGCCTGTTTTGCTGCTCTTTGAGAGCTGAGTGGAGGAGGAAGGCTGCTAAGCAACAACGTGGGCCTTACCTTTTGTTCCAGGGGGCTGCAGATTATCTCCAGTCAGCGAGCACCAGCCTACGGGAAAGATGTCCCGGGAATCATATCGGCACCAGTAATCGAAGGCACCTCTCCAGCCATCAAATGTTATGAGGACCTCAGAACCTCTCACCTCCCCAATGGTGGCCGGGCAGATGAAGTGAGGGTTCTTCCTGTCCACTGCCTCCAGCTTCATACCTGTCTTGAAGAAGTTTTGGGATGGAGATGGTGGTTCCTACAAGGAGAAGTTGAAAATGCGCTCAAAGAGGATAGGCCAGTGCCTTCCCAGACCAGGGCTGTCCCCTCCATCCGCAAACTCACCTCCACGAGCAGATGAAGAAGGGAGCTAGCGGGCTGGATGTGAACCCCGATTAGGGGCGCACATGCTGGCCTGGCTACCCAACCACAGGCCCTTTGAGTCGAGGGGCAGCGAAGTCCACTACTGACTGCTCTGCCATCGCCTGGCTACCGGGCCAAATCCAGACGGTGCTACGTTAACACTGCACCCTGTGACAACTCTCAGGCCACACAGGCAGAACACAAAGCTCCAAAGAGCCTCTATGGGACACTGTCACTGTGTTATCTTGGAGCAGCCAAACCCGAGACAAGACAGTCTCTCTCCACCATTCTTCCCCCACACCGAGCTTTGCCAGACAGGAGGGAGATCCGCCATCCACCCTTATGGGGGCTCGCTCTTCCTTCTCTTACACTTGAGACGCACTGAAGCCACCCCAGCCACCCCATACCACAGCACACGCCTCTAGACTCGCTTCTGTCTCTCCCCGACTTCAGTAAGGGTGGGAGAATACAAACTACAACATCACAGTCGCAGTGTTGCCTCACAGCAATATTCGCTCTCCTTCCAAGCTCTGGCAGGTTAAAAAGCTCCAGAGAGGTGCCACCTTTCGCCTACTGCATTCCTGACTTTGAGCGGCCCCTGCAGCCCACGTGAACAACGAGCACATCCCTCAAGCCCAAGCCGCTTCCTTAGCAGACCTCTGTCTGCGTCCCGACACTGCCGCGACACAGCCGCAGGCAGGACGGGTCCGCCCTAGAGGAGCAGCCGCGTGGTGAAGCGGGGCAACGTCCACCTCTTCCGAGATCAGCAGGTCTCACGTGAGACGCCAGCTGTGGCTTTGGTGCTCGGCAGGAGAGGGGACACGCCAGAAGGATGTCGTCACAAACAGCACGGTGAAATACCTTGTGAAAAATCCGGACAGGAGCCATCTCTGCTCCATTCAGAGTCTTCAGAAGGAACATGGGCCAAGAGGAGGCATTCAGCCGAAAGCCTGCAGAGAAGGAAGCAGAGATGGAGACTTAGAGGCTGTGGGGGCCACTGGATGCAGCAGCACATGCCTGCTCTGATGGGAGCTTTACAGCGGTCACACATTGTGATCCCACACCACCCTCCTCCTCATGCTGGTCAGGTTTGACCTTTTCCAGAGACTCTGAATGCAGAACATTATGTGGTTGAAAAGAAACATCTGGAAATGGATGGCTGACTGCAATACTCGCTTCTCGTAACAGGAGTCTGCATGTTGGCCATACAGGCAGAGCACCGTGTGCAGCACTGGTGCTGGCAGCTTCAGTGATCCTGCTGCAGGAGAGACACGAATCAGCAAGGGCACACTCAGGCTATGAAATTTCTTCCTCAACAGGGAATCTCGGCTTCTGGGTGGCCTGCTCCACCTTTTAGAGTGAGCTGCAGGCAAGCTAACCTGAAGAAATAAAGAGGCTGTGACTTGGCTGGGAAACAGATTTAACCATTACAGGAAAGGACGGCAGTTTTGGGCTCGACACCTTCTGTGAAAAAAAGCAGAGAAGTAACAGGAAAGGGCTTATGGGAAGAAGAAAGCAAATCCACATGCTCTGGGCCCACAGCACTGAGTACACCTGCACAACGGACCGAAGTCTCCGGACATCAGAACACACCACCTCCGCTGAACGCACACCTGCTCATGGCACTGCACCTTCTGGGACCGAGACAGAGAGCACCCTGTGAGGATCAACCAGGGTTGAAATGCCCGAACACAACCTGCTCAGTACTGGCCACCCTGCCAGCCCTGTCAGAGCAGCTTGGAAACCAAGCCAGCTACCCAGAGGGGCAAACACAACCTTTTACGTGAAGAAGGGGAGCAGCAGCACGTGGAAAACCCCGGCTGGGCTCTTTGTTACCTGTCTTTAGGTTGAGCAGGCGGTACAGATCAGAGCCAGAAATGAGTTTTGCCGTGCCACTCGATTACACCTATTGCCATCTGCTGGCAAAACCCAGACAAGGCGCCGGAGGAACCACCACTGCCAGCGAGGATGGGTACCCACGGCTCCTGGGCAGCCGGCACCACAGCTGGAAGCTGCCCCCTGGGACCAAGGGTTTAACCAGACGCCTGCAAACGGACAGCAGCATGCAGGAAGGTCACATTAAAAACTGGCAGCTCTAATGTTAATAGCTGCAGCAGGTTTTGTCTGTAGCGATTATGAAGGGAAAGGGTATCATTTGACCTGCAAACACACAGCTTTGTGCGGTGTGGGGTGCCAAAACATGCACCTGCTGATGTTTCTTCCTTCTTCAGAAAGGTCAGGCCCAAGTGTCCCACTGCGATTTAGACTGTACTTCCACCAAAGCTCACAAATGGTGCTCCAAAAAAACCCCACGAATAAAAATATTCCTAACTCAAGGTACCCTCTTGAAGGTTTCTTCATCACTATAGATCGGCTTGGTATTATTTGGGGATGTGCTAATTGAGAGAGATTTATGAAGACACCCCAAAAATAATGGGCAGCAGAACCCAAAAGCAGGTTAATCTCGCTGCTTCATCAGGAAAAAACCAGCAAATTGGCTCATCATTTGGCCAGTATCAAAAAAAAAGCGTGTTTAACTGAAGATAACTGAAGACAAGACTGGAAGAAGGGTTTGACTGTCCAGGTTATTTATAAAGCTGTAGCCAGGCAACATTAAATAAACAAACAGATGAAATATCGCAAGCATCCCTTCACGTGAGACAGGACTGACATCACTGGGAACATTTTCAGGCGTTACGGTTCCCCATCAGGTGCTCTGCAGCCAACGGCTGCCGCCCCAAAGACACTGGGGCACAAACACACTCAGGCAGCACGACTGACAACTGAAACGCTTTTGAAACGGCAGGGTCAGGATCAGCGGTGAGACAGCAGATGCCTCAGCCCTAAGGGCTCTCTCGGTTATTCCCTACCTCAAGTTCCACAGCTCCCCAGCAAAGCCCCTCGGCCAGGCACCAGCCCTGTGCTCGGCGCGGGGAGGCAGCGGAAGGCGCTGTTTCATGTCACGCACACCTTCGGGACGCCAGCGCTCGCCGGCGGGACCAGAAGCCCAGAGCAGCGGGCAAGGGCCACAGATCAAGCCGTTGCCACAGCTACGGGCCAGCACTGCCTGGGCGACGGGGTGGTGCCTCCCGGCAAAGAGAAGCTCAATTCCTTCGGTCCTTGGACAGGCACTCCCCCAGGAGAGGCCCTCACAGGCGCCCTGCCTTCAGCGCTGCTGCCCACACCCCCGCTCACCAGGCCTTCGGGGTGCCCCTCGACGGCTTGTGTGCCCGCTGGGAAACGGAGCGGCCCTGGCAGGCCTTCACACGAACGTGCTCTTCCTTTGAGGAGCGCAGGGGCAAGTTCAGAAGGCGTAAGAGCACGGTCAGCATGTGCCGAGCTCCCGCTGCCAAGAGTGCGGGCAGCTCACCTGGGTGCACAGACCTCCTTGATCTACGCTCTAAAGCACCTCCCCACCCATGCCACGAGGTACCCATGGAAACACAGACCTGGGTGGGGGATACACCTGTTTGACAGCCCAAGCTAACAGGACTGCTCTACACCTTCGTGGTGGGCACGGGCAGTGCACGGGTCTGTCCCAAGCACAGCAATACAAAAACCCCAGGGCTTTCCCCCCCAGGTAACGCAGGCGCTCGCTGGACAGCTGGCCTCCGGCTCACCCAGGGGAGGCTGCAGCATGCCGCCGTTCTTCTCACAGTTCCCGATCGGCTGGATCTCAGCAAAGTCCACCAGACGCCAACAAACGGTCTTGTTGCCATCGAGGCGCAGGCGGAGCCGTGCGCCCGTCAGACCGACCACCGTGGCAATGCAGGTGGAGGTGGTGTTCCTGGGGTCCTGGGCTTCGAGTTTCATGCTGATCTTGAATTCGTTTGCAGGTGGAGTGTACGACTGCAAAGGGAAAAACAAGGACCCAGTGAGAGCCAGGTCTTCCAATGTATGCATCGCCTCAGTCATACAGCTTCAGCCCCAAGAGCATCAAAACCGATTCTACCCAAGACTGACAGCATCCTCCAAGCACAGCCCGGGGGCAGACACCACAGAGCAGTAAAGAAAGTTTTTGGCGAGCCCTGGCAGATCTGTAACCCAGACCACAGCCTTTCGGTACTGCATCATCCAGACAACCAGGCCCAGCCTCTTCTCTCAGCCCTCCTCTCAGCAGAACCAGCCCACACCCATACTGCTCTGGGCTGCTGGCCCTCCACCCGGGCCCAGGGGCACCGTGCCGATTCACTCCTGGATCCCCCGTACTCAACACGACCACCTCCGTGCTCAAGTGCCTGACACCCAGGGGGCTGCTATTCCACTCACAAAGATCGGGTGAATTCTGCAGAAAACCTCCCTGCTGGGCAGGATCCACCAGAAGCTGGGACACAGGCTGCTCAGAGCATTTTCTCCAAGGGCCTGTGCTTGGTAGAGTAAAAACATTCTCGTGTTCCCACCCGGGCACATCTGAGAGTAAAATCTCCTGCGCTACTCTAACATCTGCAGCGCCTAAACGTATCTTTTTTTATCTTTGCTTCAGCACACTTAGATTTCCATTAAGTCTCCCATATCCTTAAGCATCTTCCTTGCCAAAAAAGGGGCCTATCCCAGGCACAGAACTCCTGGGTCACCAACGGACCATCGCCCTTGACCTTTCTCATTTTCACCCTCTTACCTGCTTGAAGCAATGGGCAGGAGCTGGGATGGCACATGTCTCTTTCAGGTATTTCTCCCAGGTGAAGTGACCTGAGAAAACAAAAGGATTCAAATAGGAACCGACGAGCAAAAAATCTCAGAACAAGACGGCTGGACTCCTAATGCCGGCAGTCCTCACTTCTCACAGAGGAGGTGCTCACAGGTAACATGTTTTCATCAAGATCCTCTGATGTTTGTGACCACAGAAGATTTACAACTGCAGCTGACAGGCAGAACAAAGCATGATGCTGCCTACGGCACCCTACTGCCTCCGTGCTGCCGAGAAGGGTCTGCAAAAAGCGAGGATAACAACCTACAACTTAACATAAAATACCCAGAGCAGATGGGAATCTGTGGAGTCTTCCAGACAACTGCCCCTTAAAAACCATGTGTTAAACACATCGCTCAGTCTGGGGATTAAGAACAGTCACTGTGGGCTAAACGCAGCCCAAATCAATAGGGAACTGCACTGTGCTGACTTCAGGGTTGCCCTGGCCCAGCGTGCACACAGCCTGCCCCACCAGCCAGCAGCTCGGAGCAGGTATCAGCCCGTGCCCAGCAATTAGTGGACAGGTCAGCAATTAATTTCCTGTCCACAGGCTGGGCAGGATGGAAGCAGGGATCCTCCAGAGGGGATTTACCGCACACAGCAGCTCACATCCACCACCAAAGCCCCTTCCGCTGAGCGCTGCTGCCGGGGGAAGCGTGTTTGATCCCTGCTGGCACCTTTCCCATGTACAGCAGGAAGGGTAAAAGCAATATGCCATCCAGGGAAACCTGTTATTAAATGAGGAATTAAAAGCTCCTGCGACCCGAGCAAATCAAGACTTTTGCCATTTAAACCGAGCAGCTGGGACAGGATCCTTCCAGCACGACATCAGCTTGTATTCAGCTGAACGGCACCCAGGAGACCGCTGGTTTCAAGTCATTTCAAGAGCATTGGTGGCAGCACAATTAAAGGGTCAGCTACCGCTTCCCCCAGTCACGACAAGTTTTTAATCAGTCTATTTTCAAAACAAAAGCTACATTAAGAGCCATTTTAGCTGCTGCGGTGCACCCCGCACCTCTAAAAACCCAGGCGTTAAGGTCAGCACACGACTTTGGTTCTGCCTCACGTGCACAGAGCAGCCTTAAGGGCTTGATAACCTACCAGCTTCACACAAATAAAAGAGCTGCTGCAGTCTTGCCCCCTCCCATGCAGATGACTAGTACACTGTTCAATATAGTGGAAATGAACAGAAAAAAATAGTTTTGTTGCCACACTGGCTGAATACATTTCTGTTTACTCTGGAGGCTGACAGCAGCTCTCCAGGCCTCACAGTACGTGTTTCCATCCATTGGCACATATTTTCTTTTCAGCCAACGGTCTCATACCAGGGTGAGTGAAGAAATTCAGGGATTTACTGCAACGATGCCCTGAATAAAACAGATTTCTTTCGCTTTAATCGAAGACAAAATTTTACATTCTGTTACACCAGTGAAACTCTGTGTATGAATAACGTGCAATCAATCCCCAGGCAAAGCAAACCCAGACACTCCTGGCATGGCAACGCCTTGTGCACCCCACCCCGTAACCCTGGGTGCTGACTGGGGGTGGCCCTTGCCCACGGAGCACAGAGGATGCTCACGGTGACAGCACCGCAAGCCCCAGCCCCAGGGCCTGCGCCAGCATCTTGAGAAGGATCAGCTGTGCCTGACAATTTGACTTCAAAAACGAACCCCCCCCCTCAGCGGGTCTCCAGCCCTCGCCACTAAAAGCAGTCAT